CCTGTCTATTTGAAAGTGGTCTGTGTATTTATATAAGAGGTGGGTACAACAGAGCAGCATTTTCAATGATCTTCTATCATTTCCTTGTTCATTCTTCCTTTCATCTGTCTTTTCAAACTCTGCAAGAAAATCCTACCTGACATGCAAGGAACCAGACAACAGCAATGTGTGAGGATGATGGCATGACATGTCATGGCAGAAGAGGGATGTCCAAGGCTGACGTAAAAAGGACTTCTAAAATGGAATAGGCTTATGGATCAAAAAGAAGAGCAATTAGATAAATCTGTCAAGAGATGCTCTAATTATAGATAGCATCCTGGGAAGGAGTAGAAAAGGACAGGGGGTACAGAAAGTAGTTGGGCCAATCCTGCCTCAGAACTTCCACTGCTAGTGCAGCAGAGTTTGGGACTGGTGACTAATAGACCACTACTTTGGAAGAATCTGGTTCTGGGCAAGACAGTCAGTCTGCCACTAAGTTCAGATCACACAAGACATGGTAGGCCAATAACTGGATGTTGTGGGCCCCAAACAGGAGTTCTAGAGCAAGAAAACAAAGATCCTGACAGAAATTATCTACATGTTGACTGACTTAACAAATGATAGTGGAGTTGTCTGAATGGATCATGATAAAATGTCCAGACAAACACGATCGAAGATGGTGGCAAAGTCCAAACACTAGAGATGGTGAAGGTGCTTAGAACTGCATTCAAACTGAACAAAGAGATATCTGTGAACAGATGCAAGTACAAGTAAGGTGGAGGAAGAGAGATGTCCAGGGTCATGTGAGATAGACTGAGCCACCATGATAGCGAGAGGTAAAGATGAAAGAAATTAGAGGACCTCTAAACATATGCCTCTGATCTGCCAAATTCCAATGAAGAGAAAGCAAATGGGCATGTCCCAGAAAAGTATGGGATTCTAGAGAGGCTACAATCTCCAAAAGAGACAGAACCTTTCATACCAGAAGAGGAGACATGACACCTTTAGAAACCAGAAGCTTCCTGTTTCAGAGACATAAATCCCACCCAGTAAATGAGTTGATAAAGATTTCCAAATTAATCAGATACTGAGTGGACATCACTACTGACTTTCAGAACTTGACCAGCTAACCCAAACAAACAGACTCCCATAGGAAAATGGGAGTCACAACAGGGAATGCCTTCCAGGATGGTCTAGTAGGAGCCAATCATTCATATAGTAGTAGAAATCCAGACATAATGAGTGTGTTCTCCGTACAAGAGCCTTTGAGACCCAGTTAAAAATAATATAAGTTCTAGCTAACTTCAAGGGAAGAACCCTGATCTAAAAGATCTGACTGGTTTGGATGAAAAAAGGGATTTAATGGGTAACCAGATGAATCAGAATGTAGAGAAACCCTTGAGAGAGCAAATGTGTGACCCAAGGGTCTTCTGCTAATGGAATCCACAGATACAAAAGGTGTAAGGGTCAAATTTCCACAGGATTGAAGTCAATGAGTGGCTCAAGAAATGAGTCACCTTTGAGCAGATTCATCAGGGTGAGAGGACACCATGAAAGGGCCATAGGGTGAAGAACAGGGTAGGGGAGACAGAGAACTTGCTGGGTCTTCTTGGATCTAAATAATACCAGAGTGATCAGAAATGACAGCTGCCTCAACTGATGTACCCAAAGTATGAGGAACTCCTAAAAAAACCTCTTTTCAAAAGAGCAGCACCAAATGGAATTCCCTCAGATAATACCAAGGGACTTTCATAAATTAGTTTTATTTCTTTAAAAGAATGAAATATGAAAGTAATAATAAATTTAATTAATCCAATTTTGTGGATCTTATTGAATATAAATTATCATATCCACATTTTTGAAGCCTCCTGAATTTCAGACACTTTCTCAACAGAAGTTGTTGCATTCTACTTTAATAGTAGCTGGAGGTACTCTAATGGTGAGTGTTTTTACTGCCATTGTACATCAAATGGTTCATTCTATCCCACATTCTTTTTCTATACCAGACAAGATCACATTACTCTACTTTTGTCCTTCACTGCTCTTATATCTCAGATATATGACATTCTTTTACCCCATTTGTTTGTGCTGGTTCATGGGCGAGCTTAATGCATGAGCCCCAAACCTTGGATTCTCTTCCATTTCCCTCTTTTATATTTGCATTTATGCTGATTCTTTTATATCTCATCTTCATGTCAATTCTCAGTTGCCATGGCCTTTGGAGTAGACATAATAATTCTTACTTGAAATTTTAAATGAAACTTTTCATTTAAAATTTATGAACACTGCAAAAGATCCTTTGTTTTACAAAAGACTTAAGAAAATAACATGTCTAAATAGTTCAGTACTGAGGAAAAAATTAGCTTTTGCACACAAAGTGCTAAAGCAGATTACTGTACAAGAAGGTTGTGTTGCCCCCCTATTGGTGGAATGCCATGGTCTGATGTGGCTTAGCAACATAGACTTGCACAGTACACAAATGTAGAGGTAAGAGCTATTTTAACAAATTCGTGCATGCACAAAAACTTTTCTGCTGTAGTGCCATAGCACTAGTTAATTGTTCCGTGGAGATATAAGTAGTGTACCATTGTCTTAATAATTAGTTTCCAACACTTGCATAAAGTGCCAGACAGTTAAGACATCATAGAAACAATCAGGGTGATACACTGACCATAATATTAACCTTTTTGCAATGGGTGCCCCTTTAAATGCTTTTCTGCACAAGTCACTGTGTTACAATCAAAATTTAATTTAACAGCTTTTACTATCAATGTACGTGAATGAAATTAATACTATAATATATGTTATTATTTGAAGTTTTATGTTATCTAAGTTTCAACTCCTTTATTTCAAAATAAACCTTTAAAAAACTACTTAAAACATCAGATGCATTGTCACATGACCAACGAGCAATGTGACACTCTGTATCTTCAATAATACAATGGCAGTTGTGTAGATGTGCATGTACATGTAGAACAGTGCTCCCAAATTGTATTCCGTGGAAGGGTCTCAGATGTGCCTCAGAATTTTTACAGTTATTAAGTAATTTTTATTTAGCAACATAAATTTATTATCAATTTAATAAATTTCTAAAATTTCAAATTTGATTTATTTTCTCCTCGATACACAGTATAACAGCAGCTTCTGCCTGTCCTAGTCAGGGGGGGTGCCACTAGACCTGCCATACGGACTTATTTACATGTGCCGCAAAAGTTTGGGACATTAAAAGTGCTCTGTCAGCTGAAAAAGATTGGGAAGCACTGGTGTAGACTACAAGATGCTTACATAACCTTTGGACTCATACATTTCAATGTTCTTTGAATGAATGCAGTTGAAAGAAGTAATACATTTTTTCAACTCCAGACATGTGCCATGCTCATCTTCAAAATATTTGTTTGAGCTTTATAGCCTACATGTAGATGTTACATACACATGTGTATAGTCATTAGAAAGAACTCATTTTACACTATAATCTAACAATGGTTATTTTGAAATTGGCATGCAGTTGGCATCACAGAGTACATGTAACTCACTGCAGTATTGTTGGCTGCTTGATCAACTATAGCACTTAGAGTTGTTTCTTACCTAAATATGTTATAGTTAGAGATACAGTTTAAATTGTATTTAGGTCTTACTACTATATTTTAGTTAATTATGTATTAAAATGCATAATTAAAAGGTTAAAACATTTTTAAATATACATCATACTTTGTGTCCATTCTCAAGGCTTAGGATATTACACGCTGTATGAAAATTTTGCTGAAGGGTTGTGCATATCTTCCATAGACACTGTAATATACCTCAAAGGTAACATTGACTTGTGTCAAGGTGAATAATAAGTGGTAACAGACAAGAAAGGAAAATAAAACATTAAATATATGTGAAAAGGAAAAGAACTGAAATTATGAATTTAACAAAAGGAAAATCTTTATTGATATTCTATAAAAAATTAAAAGGTATGTATTTTTTTCTATTTCCTAATTTAAATTACTTCATTAATAGCTAGAGTTAGTGATATGGTAGATAAAATGAAAAATAAAATATAAATATTTACCTTAAAGAACTTTTAATATACTTTTATGAGGTTCTAGAGATTATGCAAATGAAATATAAAAACTATAACACAAAGAAAATTATTTTTATACTTAAAATGAAAATCACCTTGCACTTGATTTGTTAATATTTTGAGTGCAAGTAACTACAATAAAAATATAAAAACAATTATAATAACGTAATTCTTTGTGTACATGATACTTATGATCTTTCACAAAATCATACCAGTTTTTGAGAGGATAAATTATGAAATCTCAGTTACCATATGTATTGTTATGCAAATGAAAATCATGACTTGATTTCCTCAAATTACATGAGCCTGATGCGAAAGGGTTAAACAAAAAAAAACATACACACATTAATGTTCTCTATTTTATCCCTAAAACCTTTCACTTCAGCATTCAGCATATCATAGCCATACCACTTTTGAAGCTAGCTTCACAACTCTATAATGAAATAGTCAAGTTTTGTTTATAGAGACTGTATCCTCACTAATAACACAGAAAAAAAACAACACATACTAATATGTATTCTTCAAAGAATCTAACACTTTACTTAATATTGAATGATCAGTAAATAAGCAGAATATTTTTGTTTAAAAATGTGGCACTTGCACTACCAAATGTAAATCAAGCAATAATCTATAAATATATATATTGAATTTAGTGAAATTACTACTTTTATGTAAAAAACGTTTATTTTAAAATAAATAAGTAAAAATTACTTAAGTAAGTTTACCAAGACAGTTTAAGTATAACAATACTGCAAAGAGAAGATCTTAAGTTTTGATAGTTAGACATATACATATATATAGACAAAACTTAAGAGAGTTATGCTGTCTGTGACATCAGTATGATGATGCCATAAATTAAAAAGTTCACACATTAATAAATAAATAAATGATATATTTTGTTACCACTAGATAAAAGATAATTGATGTGAGAAAAAAAATTACCGAGCCCTGAATCCTTTCCTTGTCGCTTGCAGTCAATCCATTGGCAATGATACTCAGCATCATCATTCTGCTGGATGTGGGTCTGATTGACATGTTCAGCTAAGTCATCCCCATCAAAAAACTGCTTCTCACAGTCTAGCCACTGGCACCTGTGAGTTGATTCTCTGTCTTGATTTTGATTAAATTTACTTGCATCAGAGAACTTCTTTACATAACCTGCATCATTTTCAGACACCTGATGAAAGGACAAATATGAAACAAGACACTTTGGCATGTATGTACAAGCTATATTTTAATTTTCATTACATAAAAAAAACACAAAAAACATTTTGTAATATGACCAGGTTTGATGAATAACTTCTTTAAAACCATACAAAAGCACTTTAAAAAAATATGTAAGATGAAGAAACATGATGAAAGTCCCATAATCTTTATGTCTTGAATTACAACTTCTACAACTGTCTCTTCTAAAATCATGATGGTAAAATGTAGTGTTAAGCCTTTCACACACTTTCTTAATGAAAAGTTTATGTTTTTCTAAAAATGTTACTATTTTCAATTGAAAACTCATAAAACTAAACATAGTGTTATGTTTTGGTTTTAACAAATAACTATAAGTTTTTTTCTTCCTTGTACTTTGTATCACTAGGCATATAGGGCCTTAATAAATAATAAGTTTAAAATGAAAGAGGGAGTGGTAGTAAAATAAAATGCATCCCTAAACTATGATTTAATAATAAACTAATTTATAAAAAACAGTTACCAGTGATACATTCAGGTATGAAATATTGTATATGGCAAACCATATGGCCAGTTACAACTAAAAACAATGTTTTATAACCTTAAAATATAACAAATAATGTAAAATATTGAGAATATAAGATATAATTTATTAACTTACTGGTTCTGTTTTAATTTTAACTCCAGAATTGTCACACAAATTCAAACCATTTTGTAACAAACCATGGGAAACCAGAAGAGCTGACACAACAGGTGATTCTATCAAACTGGAAGATGCAAAATTCAATGTTTGATTCACATAGGATGCTTTTTTTAAAGGAAATTTTAAATCTTCATCATTGTTGCAAGGTACGAGAACAGTGGACAGTCCATTTTTTCTTTCTAGGTCATAACACGAGTCATCAGTAGAAACAGAAGCATGACCTGGATAATGAATATTAAAATCATTTTAACATGGGTTATACCTTTAAAACCATTGATCTATCTAGCAATTTACAACAACATAAACAACAGCAATCAGAGAGATTACATACCCTCACACCACCACTCCTTTTTGAGATTGCATGCATTTATATTGGATAACTTAAAATTTCCCTTCAAAAATTAAAAAAATTCTTCTCAGATCCAGAATGATCAACAATTCAGATCATTTTTTGTAGTGATAAGGAGTTTCAATCTGAATGTGCCCCCATGAAATTTGGTACAAATCCAATCACACAGTTATTAACCCAAAACTGTAAAAATGTCCTACCTTCACATTATAAAAAATGTTTTAAAGTGATCCAGAATGTGGATCTGGGAGGGCTGTTCCATACTGACTCTTCATCTTGTGTACATCAGTCTATTGGTTTTCAAGATACGTACACGGAAACACGACAGACACACACACAAGGACCCAATGGCAATACCCTTGACCCACCTCAGGGGGCAAGGATAATGAAAACTACTAATTTATGATGAGAGAAGGAACAATTAAACTTACCAGTAACTGAAACTATTCTGACTACACAGCTTTAATTATTTTGTGAGCTTCTGAAAAGCAGATACTGAAATTCTAACAAGCCTTAACTTTTTGTCTAATAGCAATAAATGACACATCAAACTACTTTTGGTCTAGAATTTTTTCATATTCCTAATAACACAAAATTTATTCTTACTGTATAAGAAAGACCATATTCAGACTTGCAGATCAAAAAGCATATTCAGGATGCTTTAATACCAAGGATGATCTTAAACATGATCTTAATTTAAATTTTATTTTTGTTCCTTAGCCTTTTTTGTTTTATACTGTTGGTAATTATAGCCACTAGCAGAAATGCTGCTCTACGAGCAGCTGTTTGTGCCAGTAATTTCTAATCATAATATTCATACCTCATTAAAAAGAATTTAGAAAAAGTGGAAATTTTCTGAAAAAATAATTTTTTTCTGGAAAATACTTTATAGGAAAAGTGTTCAGATTGTGCTCTTTAGTCATACACACCTCATTTTATCAAAATGATTCAATGTACAGATCTCAAAAAAGTTTCATAAATTTTACTCGCATTTGAGGGTTTGATTATATCTTTATTGATGTAATTTTTAAATGTAGTACCAAGAAACTATAGATCGTAAAAAACTATTATTTTTTCAATAAACAGTACCACTTTTAATATACAAGAACATTACAGTTTAGATAAAGTCCTAGTGAAAACTGTGTTCTTGTTTTGAGCAGAGTACTTTTATGAAAAATGAGTTATATTATAAAGAAATGGTTGATGCACATACCATAGTCATTTTTCTAATTGTATGAATCTTGAAAACCCAAAGAGTGAAATACTTCATGGATTTTTGTTTGTGGTGCTATTCAATAGATGATGCAGGAGTTTTGGTTACATATATAGATATTGACATACATGCTACATTCATTATAGTAAGATTATTGGTATATTATAAAGATTCATATTTAATACTATACTATCCGAATTCAAAACAGTAGTAACAGTTATCAATTGACAGAAAACAGATGCATGGTCAATATTCACATCGGAACATTTTTCATGTCAGTGGACTTTTATGTGAGGATTTAAAGTTTGCTTTCCAATCCTTAAGTAGTCATGACAAAAAGCATGTTTAAAATATTTAACTACTCAGTAAATTTTCACATACCACCATTATATGTGAAATAGTGCTAACAGAACTTCAGCTGGTCTGACTCAGGAAAAACCACTTGGAAACCAAATCACCAATGATTCTTGTTGATTTAAATGTCATAAATTTCATCAGGGTTTTGCTTTATACCCTTTAAATATATACTAAATTAAATTTTGAAACATTACATATTAATAGGTACTTTATTTCAATTTACCTTATTAGATTCATATATGGGGTGGTAGGTTAGCCCCATGTTTTAAATTACACAGGCCACAGCATCTATCTAAGGTCTCTCCTCTTAATATACACTTTAATTATGTGTTTTTGACAGACTAATATCTCTTCCCAAATAGATACATGGAAAAAACTGTTTTCTGAGAATAATTAAAAAAAGGGGTCAGAAATGTTCAATAATAAATGTTTTCAAGACCACAAGCTACATTTAGTTTGGGATATATTAAGATACTGTCAGACAATGAAGATATAACAGCTTGATAAAGGTTGCATGTTAAATTAATCTACTCTGACTGTACACTTCATCAGGATGCCATCACATATTCTTAAAGCACTCTATTTATATCCACAAATTGATAATGTGATACAACAGATGATTACTAGAGGCCTACAAATGCAAAGATGCACTAATATCATGATTAATCTGCAAGACAATGGTTAAAAAAGTAACATCCTCTCCAATTTTCATAGAGCATTAAAGTAGGTGCCTGTCTAGAAAGAATGTCACTATAGGAAAACCAAGTTTCTTTGACTGGCTATCCAAAGAAATCTGTCATCAATGTAAAATTTGTCTGCTAGTAAGAAAAATGATGGCTATAAACCATTTGTAAATAATCAGAGAAAAAGACAATTTGACAGGCTTATAAAACTCAAAAGACATCACACTGTGTCCCATATGGCCAAATCTTTAAATATGATTAGGATTTAGTTATCTCCAACTGTGTCATTTAACTCTTTCAGCACAGGCTCAGTCCCTAGGGCCAACCTCGTAACCATTTTGTGCATGTTATAGTTTTCATGTTAAAACCTTTAAAGCGTATGTTCACTAAATTTGGCAGATTAACAGTAAACATTACAAGGCTTTCGCACACAAAATATCAGATTTTTTTTTAAAATTCTTAAGGGTTTTTAGTAATGTTTTTCTCATGCCTTTTTTCTTTTCACATGTTACCTATCCTACATACAAAGTAATTTTCATTTTAATATTAAAAATACTTTTATGCATCAGAAGATTTTCAAATTCACATGCTAAATCTTTATAATGTCCATATAGTTATCAAATGTTCTTAAGAAAATACTTTATATTTTATCTGTTAGTTGCACTATCGATTCTCTATAGGGTTCGGTACATTTGACTGATCTCGTAACCACCACAAAAAATTTGGAAATAAATAT